AATAGGTAAAGTAAATTAATGTTGTACTATTTGTTGAAGAATTCAATAGTCCTGTCATCCAACATTAATTTAGCTAAGTTTACAAACATTATTAATATACTACTTATATATCAAGACAATTATTACATTGATGTATAAATTATTTGATATGATTATTGTCCATTGCCAAAGGAAAATCAATTTCCAGAAATATTATCAATTGGGAAAATTAGATAACTTTTTTCGTGCAAACAGCAAGGTTTCTGGGTTGCTTCAACTTAAGGGCAATACTTATACTGTTATACATACAGGGGAAAGGGGGTCTATGAGGAGGGGGTTGCTAAAATAGGATGGTGAGGAGGAGAGTTGTGGAAGGGGATGGAATTGTGGGAGGACGAGAAGGGGTTTCCATAGTTCCATGGGTTTGGAGGAGGGAGAACGAAGAGACTTCGTTGGAAAGAGGTTATTGGATTTGATATCTTGCTTTCACTTTGTCTGAGTTTTTACCATATAGTCCCTCCGACCTTAAATAATCTTCCTATTACCTAACTTACGTTAGGACATGCATTTTAAATTTTAGTGGGGTTAGGATTAAAATGTGAGCCGACCCCACATTATTGGATTACGTCTTTGATTGATTGATAGGATTAAAATGTGAAAGGGGTTCTTCTCACATGGGTATCCTTAAAAGATAACATGAAGATTATTTATGGGCATTGGCAGCGGGAGCATTTTGTATATTTTGATTATTTTTTTCCTATTTAAAGAGAATTGAATTGTAAGAACTGTCAATAGTACTGGGAAATTATGTTGAATGTCCCATAAATGTTTGATTTAGCTTTGGTGATGCTTACTTGAGGTAGTTACAATATCTTTTATTAAACGTTGAAATTTTAGTATGCTAAGCAGAATGCAGGTTTTAGCATGCTGGAGAACTGGGAGGAAAATTTGGCTGTAATAACTGCAAATAGAACTGAGAATGATCATCTTGTGATTATCCATCTTGGAGATTGTCTACTGAAGGAAAAACATGATGTATGTCTTCCACTTTATTTTGGGCAGCAGCTGTTGGCTGTTAAGTATTGTTTATTTTCTTTGTTTGCAACTTCAAAATTGCCATTTCCATCCATTAGTCTACAGTTGTAGAAAAGTTAGAAGATTTATCAGCTTCATTCTTATATGAGTCCAATTGTATAGGTTACTGCTGCACATATCTGCTACTTGGTTGCAGAGGCTGGATTTGAGCAGTATTCAGATAGTGCAAGATTGTGTCTCATTGGTGCAGACCACTGGAACTTCCCAAGGACGTATGCTAGTCCTGAGGCAATTCAGGTGTTATTTTAGTTTCTTGTAGTTCCTTTACAAGTTACTTCGGCTTTTCTATGCATGCAGTTAGACTTTTATTGTGGTGTTTCTACTTGCTAGAGAACTCTGCATTTATTTATGCCTTAAATCGGGGATAAAATTGTCCTTTGTATTTTTTTATATTACTTTAAATTTTATCGTGTGTCATAGTTTATCACATTTTGCGTACTACTTTAGCTAGTTGAATAACTGTTACCTAAGTTACTATCTTATGATTTTCACCCTGACCATCAATGTATAGATCCCTTCTATAATTTGTTTTTGTTTTTGAACGTACTGCTTTCATGCTTTGAACCTGTTGGAATAGTTTGCTTATAGTAGCTCTCTGCCCTTAATAATCTAGGCTGTTTTATTTTCTTATGCACCATCCTTTCACTATCCATCATATAGATCTATGCCTCCCCATTAAATTTTTTATTTTCTTTTGGAGCAAAATATGTAGTGATAGAAATGATCTTGAAGATTATGTTTGGTTTTTGGTTGTTACTGCAGATGACAGAGCTTTATGAATATGCAAAGGTTCTTGGGAATTCTCAGTTTCTCCTGCTTCAACTGCAGCCATACAAACTTATATATGCGCACATACTGGCTGAGGTTGGAAGGATTTCGGATTCATTAAAGTATGTATATGAGCCTTTTAGTTTAATTGTTGAAGACATTTGTCCTTTGATTTTTTTTTTTTTTTAAGATGATGGCATAATTCAGATACTGTCAAGCTGTTTACAAATCTCTTAAAATTGGACGATCACCGGAGGCAGATACATTGAAACAGTTGTTGTCATCTCTTGAAGAGAGGATTAGGACTCACCAGCAGGTTTGACCTCAACTTTTCTTTTGCTAAGGAGTTGTGGTGCAATTTCTCTAACCTTTTTTTTTTTTTTTGGTAACCTTTTCAGAGTGGATATGCAGGTAACTTAGCTCCAGCAAAGATAGTGGGTAAATTGCTGAACTTTATTGATAATACTGCTCATCGTGTTGTTGGAGGACTTCCGCCACCTGGTCCTTCGTCTTTAACACAAAGTAGTTATCAAGGCAGTGAAAATCAATTTCAGACACTGGGCCCTAAGGTGACTGGTAGTCAATCAATCATGGGTGTCTCATCACTGACACCATTAGCATCCACGAATGTAACGGGCAGTCAATCAACCATGGGTCTGTCGTCACTGACTCCATCAGCATCCATGGAGCCCATAAGCCAGTGGGCAGTAGATGAAAGTAAAATGACATTGCAAACTAGAAGCATTTCTGAGCCAGATATTGGTAAAACTAAGCCGGTATAGTCACATGCTCGTGTACTTTTATTGTACTTCCTAATCCCTTGAGACACACACACACACACACACACACGGTAGTTGTTAACCTTTTATTTTTCAAATTTGATATGAAATAGGATCAGGTTGATTCTTCAAATGAAGCAACTTCTTCCAGTACAGTGGTAAAACAATCTGGTTCAGCAGGAACATCTCGCTTTGGTCGTTTTAACTTTGGTGCTCAGATCTTGCAAAAGACTGTTGGATTGGTCTTAAAGCCTCTTCAAGGCCGCCAGGTAAGACAATTTATATTTATGTTTAGATTTCTTCCGTACCTGCACAAAATATATGAAATATCTGTATCTTACTGATTGGTTATGCTTATTTTATGAAAGGCTAAGTTGGGGGACACAAATAAATTCTATTACGACGAAAAGCTAAAGAGGTGGGTGGAGGAAGGTGCTGAACCAACTCCTGAAGAATCTGCTCTGCCACCACCACCGACTGCTGCCTTCCAAAATGGAAGGTCAGACTATAACTTGAAGAATGCTTTGAATGATGGAATGCATGCCATTAATGGTGATCCACCTAGTAGTTCAACCCCTGAAAGCAGCCCTGCTATACCATCTATGCCTAGCTCAAATCAATTTTCAGCACGCAGTCGGATGGGTGTACGATCAAGGTATGTATGAATTATTTATCTCTTGATTTTCGTCCTCTCTAGAGTCCCTCATCTCTGTTGGTACTCTATAATAAACTTATGAAGTGATTGGAATATTTTGCTGGGGTTGTGATCTGATTCAGTTACCCTGTCTGGTTGCATTATCAATCATATTTTTTTATCCCTCCTCCACCCTCAGTGTTTCGGATGGACTGAATGATTTTAAGGGAAAGAAGCACTCCCCTTGTTCGTATAGATTTCATTACTAAATTTTAAGGCTTGAATGACATCTACCTCCACTTTGCTGCTGCAAATAGCAGTTTTGTGAGCTTTTTTTTTTTTGGAGGTGGGGAGGGGATTGTTGTTATTCTCTATAATGTGTTAATCTTTCTAAAAGTGAAGTTTGTATATATTTTTCAGTAGTGAATTTTTACTCTGTATAGGTATGTGGATACCTTCAACAAGGGTGGCGGGGCCTCTACAAATTTGTTCCAGGCACCATCTGTACCATCAGCTAAACCTGCTAATCTCACTGGCACCAAGTTTTTCATTCCCATGGCTGCACCGACAAATGAACAGCCTTCAGGCACTGATTCTGGAAGCGGAAATGAAATTTCTCTAAGTGGAGAAAATTCTTCTAGTGATCCTTTCCAAAACCTAGCACCTGCACCCATTGGAACAATGCAGAGGTTTTCTAGTGTTGATACCTTACCTAGCAAGGGTGCAATGGACAGTGGGATAAGCTCTCTTGCACCTCAATCTCGTCGTACAGCTTCATGGAGTGCAGTTCAAAGCGATACATTCTCTCCGCCTTCAACAAGTGAGATTAAAGCTTCCCCACTTTCGTCTATGCCTGGTGATCAGTTGCTGGGTAATCTGCACATGGATAGAGACAATTCTGGGGATGACCTCCAGGAGGTTGAACTTTGAACTGGGCTGCTGTAAATATCAAGTTTTGCATTTTATAATTAGTATGAAAAACTCGATTAGAAATTATCAAGGCCAAAGCTACCGAAGCCCAGCGAAGTGGAGCTTCAAGTTCTAGATACAGAAACTTCCTTTTTCTTCACTCTTTGCCATCTGCAAATATGTCAGAAATTTGATAATCTTATTATTGTACTAATTACTAATTAGAGGTAGGATGTTGTAGCCGTTAGATGGACATACTACATGGGCAAAAATGAGTTGGAGCACCTTGTACAGTTCCATTTTGTTAGGTTCATTTGAAATGTACTATAGTGAACAGTTAAAAGGTGGATAGAAGGGAAAGATGTCAAGGCGAGATTCAATAATGTAACGAAATTTTTCATGTTTCATATTGCTGCAAATAATTGACTTCATCACAAACTTTTAAATAAGGTAGGCGGATACAAATATGGTACGAAAGTGCAAATAATATTAAGTTAACCTGATTTGACCTGATTTGAATTACTCTGATATCCAATGATAAATAAATGCAAATAAAAAGAATTGGTAACTATCTAAGGTAATAAACAATAGTAGTGTTTAACGGTTCCAATCTTGTTTTGATTGTTGGTAACTATGGTTACTATCTTAGGATATATAAAACAAGATTTGATCTCTCATTCTGTTTTTTTTATGTTATGCTCAAAATAAAAGATTAAATTATACAGGCCAATTTGCATGACTGTATATGTCATATTTTTGCCCATCTCTCTAAAGCCCCACTTTAATATGTACTTCGAATTTTTTGTAAATTGGATAATGTCTTTAAAATTATGAGGAACAGCGCGTAATGTAGCACATAACATATCCATAAACAATTGACGACCTCAACTGTGTCAAATACATTTACTCCGAACTTATTTACAAGATAAGAAAATGTTAAACTATGAAGTCTTAATTGTAAATTTCACCACAAGCAAAACTGGTACAAGGAGCTATTTCTTCTTAGTCAGAAAATACATTTAAAAGGCTGAGGCAGGATCCGCAGTCCCAGAAGAGCCTTCCACCATACTCATTTGTCTTCTTAGCTTAACAATATGAGCTTGTACCTATTACAAGGTGTCATAATTTTTTGTAAAAAAATATACTATTAATTGTTAATCAGAAGGTTTGAAGCATGATAAATACACCAAAATGTATAGCTTCTTCAACATAAGTGGTTACATCATACAAGTTTGAGAAATTGAAGTTAGTTTCCAATGAGCGCGTATAGGTAATAACATAGTGAGCACATTATTTTATCTATGGATGAGCATAAAAAAATGCACATATGAACAAGAAATATGAATATGTTATGTACTGCAGTCAATAGAGAAACAAGAAACACAAACAAACATATACTACAAACAGATCAAGTGTCTAGAACCCAGTTGTAGTAATCTACTATGACTATGCAAAAGTGGTTTCATTGGTTATACTTTCGGAACCAAATCACCTCATGCAGTTGCATAAAGAATTTTTATGCATGTGTATACCATGCTCTTAGTAATTCAGCATCATAGACAGTGTCTCTTTCCATAGTCTTAAGACAGCTTCCTTGCAGTTGCAAAAACAAGTTGGCATACAATTTAATGTCAGACATGTCCAAAGTAGCAGTTATGAGTGGGGAAATGTTTTACATTGAATCACAATATATATGCAGTTGCAGAATTTCTATGCATGTGTATACCATGTTCTTGAAAATTTAGCATCATAGACAATGCATTTTCCCATAGAGTCTGATCAAGGCAGCCTCTTCGCAATTGCGAAAACAAAATGTCAGACATATCCAGCATAAAAGTTATGCATGGGGACATGTTTTACTTTGGTTTCATAGTATATCATCATCATCATAGTAATAATTGACCAAGTAACTCAATGTCATCCATAATTACCAAGACAACCGAGTGACTTCTACAAGATACATCCTAATACTAGCACTCACTCAAGCAGGAATGCAGTTCTGTATGGGTAAATAGTTTATTATTTAACTTCTGGTGTTGGGCAAAGGGGTACATTATGTGCCTTAACCTCGGCCAAAAAAAAATGTTGAATTTACCATCTTTATTTGGCTTACTAGAGGGAAAAGGCCAACCAAAGAGATATACAATGGAGAAAGATACTCAAGCTAGTGGCTGGTCTTATTGGCTCAAAATCTTCAAGCACATAATACAATCATATACCATAATTAAAAATCCAAATCACAACTAATAATTCAGGACATGTGAAATTACAAATTCACAAATCCACTATCACAAATTCACAAGTAATGCGGTCATGCCTTACAATAGTAAGAAGTACTAATTGCAATTCTTATATCACAACTGACAAATTTATATCAGAAGTCAGGCTGTTCATAGCTTATACTTCTACACTAATATACAATGGCAATTATATAGACAAACATTCTATTGTTCAAACAGCTTGAATTCAATTGCATTAAAGTTGTAATTAGTAAGTAGACAACTATGATGCAAAGTAATTTTATATATTTTTTTTGAAAGTATGATACAAAGTAATGATCAAGAAGAATCCAAGATAATCTACCAGATAGGAAACAGAATAGGACGTAGGTTCGCAGACTTTTTGTCCCACTACAGATGCAAATATAACAAACATTTCCTAAAGTACAAATATAAGATCTCAAAGTATTATAAACTATAGCCAAATTGCCTAACGTACCAAGAACTTTAAAATATGTGAAAGCACTTATAGCAACTTTGTGCTGATGCAAATCAATTGGGAAGAAAACACCTCCCTCGGCTACCACTGTAAGTTCTATCCTTGCAGAAAATATGATAAACTGTTGTTTGGACATTACCAGAACTTATTCCTAGCCATTCCAAGCTCGAAGACAAAAAACTGAGAAAGGTCAACTCAAAACCCAACCACAACACCACAACAATATGGTTCAGAGTCCACCTCTTACCATACAAGTGAGTGCATGGAGTTCAGTATAACAAGCAAAAAAGAAATCTACTATATGGGTGCAAATCAAGTAATCACCACACACACATCAGAAACTGTAACTGTCTTAAACCAAGCACTAATTTAGAGTTTATCACAAAGAACATAACCAATCCTACGATAAAACAAATTTAGAAACTACGATAATGCCAAACAGATTAATATAGAAACCAGATGACCGCATTTACCTGTTGACGAGCTGCGGCAAGTTTGAGCAGTTCATCTGCCTCTGAAAAATTCATAAACCAATGGCCTAGAGGGTGATCTTTAGTGTTCCCTCTCCGATCACTGTTTTCTTCCGTCAGAGCTGATGCATCAATTAAAGAGTTAAGCAAGCTTACAAAAAAAGTCTTTCCATGAATATGAATAATTTTAAAAAAATGAAAGCAGAATCACATCATACCAGAGGGTGGTAGCTCCAAACCTGCAGGAAGCCGAGGAACAACAACAGCAGGGTGATTCTGCACGCGAGCAAGAAAGAGCTCTGAAGGATCCGGAAAAACAACTTCATCATATGATTCCACCACAACAGGCTTCTTGGTAGACTGAGGACCACTCTGTTCTAGAGGATACAGTTTTAAATGGTGGAATCTGTTGAGAAGTTAAATACTTAATGAGATCCACCCTTTAGTCAGAGCACAAAGAAAACAGAGAGAATTTACTCACACGTCCAATTTCCTATCACATGCATCACTGTGGAAGTATAGTGAAATGGCAATCTCAAATTCACCCCAACCGCATTCAGACAATTCAAAAGGTGGAGAATCAACAACTCTGATAGGATTATTGAAGCTCGGGTGGAGTTGAAAAACAACACGCTTAACTACAACACTCAAATCCTCATTTGTCGCCCCACGAACATAGACTGTCCATTTATGTGATTGAGACCTAAATTATTATTTTTTTTTTTAACAAAATAAGTAAATAATTAAAAATTCAATTAGACAAGTTATCAAACACTAGGTAGGCAATAAGTGAAATCAAAATACACAAACTCACTCAGTTGCCTTCCGACCAAGCCAAAACGCAATGGTTCCATAAACAATTGGCACGGAAATTTCAACATCCTTGACTCTTCGACTCGAATTCTTGACATAACCCATTGTTTAAAGTTAGAACAGAGTAGAAATAAACATGACTGACTTCCCTTAAAAAAAAAAAAAAAAAAAAAAAAAAAAAAAAAAAAAAAAAAAAAAAAAACTATTCTTCAGTAAATCTTGAAAACAATTACTCTAACCTTTTTCTCTCTCTCTTCCAGAGAATTTTCAGCTTTATTAAGCGGCGAGCCGCTGCCATCAGATAGATCAACCCCATCTTTTGGGGCAGAAGTTGGTACTTGAGTCATTGCAAATCGAAACAAAATTTATAGCCGAATTGCACGATGATCACAATGCCCGACACCTTCCAAAAGTAATAAAATCGATCAAAACTTAGCTTCACCATTATCAGTTAATACAAGATACCCAAAATAATGAAATATAGCACTCATATACTATGAAGTACGAGTATTGTTATCATCTTCATTTTCGACAACCAATTTCAAATTTAATACATGTCACTGGATATATAAATTGAGACATAAACTTACCTAAATTATTAATCAAGAAAAAACAGAAATTAAAATGGCGAAATTCAAAAAAAATAAAAACGGAGTAATAAATTATTACTCCCTTTAGCTTACTGATATGGTTTTCGTGCCAACAACAAGGGAGATTTGACCCTTCTGGATTGCTAAGATTGAAAGAAAATTCCTCACGAATTCCAAGCGACGAACCCTAATATCTTTCCGGGAAAAAAAAAATTGGGTTTTAATCCGTTTTTTATTTTTTACTACCACCAGTTATTTTTTACGAGTATTTTATTTTATTTTTTTAAAAAAAAAAAACTGCTACTTCGTCCTCCCGAGTCCCTGGTATTTTTTTTTTTAATATTTTGTTTTTATGATTTGATATACATTTTTTTTCCGAGAGAGTCCAAGTTAATATCTGAGATTAAATATTTCATTTTATATTATTTCACAATTTGCATAAGTTTTTGTGTCACTTTGCGATTTTACTTTTATTATTTTAAAAATAAAAGAAAAACAATATATTGTGAAAGCAGATACATTTAAAAATTTATGTTAGACATCAACTAGATTTTTCTCATTTTATTTTTTTGGAAATATCATCATGTGAATCAAGATCATTGTCCAGGAATCCCTTGGATGCTGATTTTTGTTCCTCTGAATTCCTTCTTATCATATTGCTATATGAAACCTTTGATTTGCTCGGTGATTTTACCACCAGCGTGTTCTCCACGAAAGAGTCCATTTCCACATTCTCAGGCTGCAGTTCAACCCTAGTGGTATCCATGGGAGAATTCTCCGGCATTCTTTTAAATTTCTTATTCGATCTTTGCGCGCATTAGGTCCTCTTCTTCTGACGAAAGTTTCTTCACTCTTCTCTCACTATCGCTTTCCATTTTTTTCTTTCTTTTTAATATATAAGAGCTTTTTTTTCCCCTCTTTCTAGATAATAATGGATGATCTTTTTTTACTTTATATATCCTCAATTTCAAGACTATATACAATGCTCAAAGGCGACTTCAACCAAACTCTATGTTCAATTCACATAGCTTCTAAAATTAAAACCAACCTTTTTACTATTTCACATTATCCACTAAAATCAAATCAAACATCAATTGAAAAATATGTAGGTAAAAAAAACTAAAAGAAACAAATTTGTAATAAGAAAATAAATGAAGACTTAGGAAGATGATAAGGAGTTACTTATTATCTTCCTCTTCTTTCATTTCTCCCATGCTAGCTTAAAATTTACTTCCTCCATTTGTTTTAGTTAACACCGTTAGATTTTTGCACTAATCACAAACTACACGTTAATTAGCTTTTGTGTTTATAATTACAATAAAACATAGTCATGTGGGATCTTGTTTGAATCGTCTCAAAATATAATGAAATAATGTCAATAATAAGAGATATCAATCATTAGAATTGTGTATTGGCAAACTTGATAAAATTAAAGAAAGGTGTCAACTAATAAAAAAACGTAGTTAATATGAAATTAATTAACATTGTTATGTTTTTCATCCAATTTGATGAGTTTTTTAAGTTTAAGGTTATCTCAGGCAGTAATATAAAAGTCAGAATTATATAAGAAAAACACATAAAACATACACGTGTTTTCCAATGCATACTTTCTAACATAAATATCCTTGATTGTCTATGAGCAAAAATTATAAAATATTGATATTAATTTTAAAAAAATAGATGTTGAAACGAATTTAACATAGCCCCACATATAATACTATATTTTTTCTCAACACGACATCATAAAATGAAGTCAAAGCAAGTTATGTAAATAATGCACAAAGTCAAATTATGTCATCTTAATTTAGATAAGAGGAAGTAATATATAATATGGAGTATATTATTAGACAGCGCATTTTGTGTGCGGCTGGCCACACCATGTTACCACTTGTAAAAAAAAAAAGTAACCCCCTATAACATTGTTCGAGTAACCCATATAGTCTGGACGGGTTTGGGAAATGGATTTTTTGCATTTGTAGTTGATTTTTTTGGCCCGACCCGAAATTGGCCCAAAAAGCCCGTATGGCTCGACTAGTTTGGGCACATGTTTTCTGGCCCGAAGCTTGGCCCGACCCGGCCTGAGAAATGGACAACTTTTTATGACCTCGACTCGACCCGCCCATTGATCACCTCTACAAATTAGCTAGTCAAATTGATGCATTTTGAAAAAAAAAACAAGTTTCATTTTTTAAACCTATACTAAACAACATCTATTTGACCTTTACTCTATTTAATAAATATACAAAAAATTACAAACAATAAGAATAACCTTTGCTCTATTATTGAGTAATTATGATAGAAAATCGGTAAATATATTTTAACCTGTAAAATTAAGTTTTTGGGTAAAAAAAAACTCGAGAGAAGAGTAGAACACTATCCTCAAATCTCAAATCCTTGGAAACGGAAAAAAAAAAAATTATTTTTTTTTAAATAGCTAGACTTGTCATTAATTAGGTTATTCTCCAACAACATATTGTAATTTTTTTAAAAATGGAGTAGAAAAAAGGGAAATTCTCAATGGTAGCCCCCTGTTTTTGCTTATTTCTAATAGTAGCCAATTTTTTTTTTTCGATTATCTTTGGTAACCCTAAACTTTCATTATTTTACAACCTTGACCTTAATGATGATTTTTCCGTTAAATCTAACTTACTACTCAACTAAGGTTAAACTATTCAAAAAAAAAAAAAAAAAAGGAAAAAAATGTTAACTATTTTAATTTTAAAAATTAAATTATTAAGAAAATAAAATACCCATCCCCAACCAGCCTTGACCTCCATTGACAAGCATCCCAGGAACCACCTACCGACCAGAATCCCGCTGGCCACCGTCGACCAACATCCCCAATCCCTTCGTCCACCTTCGAAACAACCCCTCATGCCGGCAATCCAAATCAGACCCCACGATGTTTCCCCTAACCCCGACCCTTTCTTTCTCTCCAAACACCGACCCCGACCCCAACCCAGACCCCAATGGCGTGGCTAGGCACTCTGCCTGGCTACGCCGTTAGGCATTGCTACGGCTAGGCAGGGTGCTCAGTCAATCTACTACGACACTCAAACTAGCAGCAGGGGAAGCAAGTCGGCAAATTTAAGGGCGGGGCAGAGGGCTGCTGCTGCCGTGGTTGGGCATCAAGCCATCAATTGGTTGCGGTTGTGGCTGGGCTTTGGCCTGGCTACGGCGGGCGTCGGCGGCTGCCTGTTGTGGTATTTTTAGGGATAGATAGAAGATAGGGGTAGTGGTTAGCTTGTTGTCGTGGGGGTTTTGGGGTTGGGTGGTGGCAGGCTGGAAGCCATGAAAGAAGGGAAGCTAAGGAAAGAGAATGGTTGAATAGAGACAAAAAAGTTGACCATGGTTAAAGTTAACGGTTAGTTAACGGTTTTAGGCTTAATAAGGTTACGGATGTAAATTTTTAACAGTAAAGGGTTACCAAAGATAATCAAAAAAAAATTTGGCTACAATTGAAAATAAGCAAAAACCTACCATTGAGAATTTCCCTAAAAAAAAACGGAAAAGGCTAACCACCGGCCCAATATGCCTTCTGTTTGTCTCCCTTAATTTCTCGTTGGGGTCACCTTTACCAAATCGGTGTCCTTGCAAACAAAGACGGACATCCCGTCATCATCTTCCATCTTTTTCTCTTTTCCCTGAGTCAAATTCTTCACTTCATCGAACCCGGCGTCAACAGCTCTTAATTTTCATTTCTCTTTCTCTCTCCTCAAGGTGCGTTTCTTTATCTTATGTCTTCCTATCTGTTGAACATATCCAAAACCCTGAAATTAGAATTCCTTTTTTTTTTTTAAATTTCATTAAAGCTTAGATCTTTCTGATTTTTCAGTACTGCTAATGGGTATTTTTTTTTCATTATTATTTTAGTTACCTTTTAGGGTTTTACTTTCTGATTTTTAATTGATCTGGGTTTTTTTTTTTAATTATTTGTTAAATTACCTCTTCATGTCCTTTTAAATTCTTAGTATTTTTGTTTCTTTATCATCTGAGAAATTTATTTTTTATGATGATTCATGTTAGCCGACCCCAAATCATTTTGGGACTAAGGCTTTGTTGTTGTTGTTGCATCATTTGAGAAATTATGTGGTTGGTGTATGGTATGATTTACCCCATATATAGTGCTTGATTGTATAGGTTGAAGGTGGAGCTTTACTATTGTCTGAATAGTTTTGAATCACTTTTTCCTTTTATTTATTTATTTATTTATTTTTTTCTCATGTAATTGTTGTATAATAAACTGATCTAGCAGCTGTTCTCAGCTTCTCACCCCTCCACAATAATATTGGTGTCTGACCGTCTGTCACATGTTTATGTATGCAGAAGTCTTGACTCTTGTAGAATGTTTCACAAGTATGCTTAATTAATCTTTGTTATGTTATAATGATTACGGGTATTGCCTACTTCTAGAGCTTCTCAGGTAAGAAGGCTATTCTGTGGGACTGTATAAAGGAAATGGCAGCAGAGGAGCATACTGATTTATCAGTTTTGAAGCCTCGGTTAGGTGAAAGGAATGCAATTTGGAAGGAGGAGATGGAAAGATGTGAATCTCAAGTTGATGCATTGCAACTGAAATGTATGGAGGTAAAAGCCTCTATTGCCGGGTCTGAAGTGGAGGCAGATAACGAGTTGGATATTTTATTACGGAGAGTGAAAACAGCGGCAACTTTATTGACCTATTTGAAGACTAGAGCACGAACAATGGCGGTTCCGCACTTAGCACAAGCATCTTGTGGGATAAAGCAGTTGGAAGGGATAGGGCTTGTTGACAAGGACGGAATTCCATTATCTAGTTGGTCTAAATATACTGATATTTTGTCTTTTGATGGCCTTGGTGATGTAACATCTACCGGAACAAGTGATCAGAGTGGTCTTGTTTGTGATAAAGATGGAGCCTATGTGTGTGATCTATTAAAATCTGTGCATATGGTCACAAATGTGATGGAAACTCTGGTTAAAAGGGTCCTAATTGCAGAGTCTGAAACTGCTATTGAGAAGGAGAAAGTAAACTTCAGTCAAGAAGAAATTAAGAAGAAGGAAACTCAACTTGAAAGCATGTCTTTGAAGTTGGAGGAGATGGAAAGATTTGCTTTTGGAACAAACTGTATATTGAATGAGATGAGGCAGAGAGTTGAAGATTTGGTTGAAGAGACATCTAGGCAAAGACAAAGAGCTGCAGAAAATGAGCAGGAACTTTCTCGCGTAAAGCGTGATTTTGAGTCTCTGAAATCA